CAAACTCAGAGAATTGTTTTGCCCCCAATCTGTCTTTTTTGTAGAGAAGACAAGGCCAATCAAATATGAGAAAGCTAAAAATAATCATAGTTATGGTGTATAATTTTGTGGTTTCTCGTATGTCCTGATCCCCTCTAGGATTGGCCATGACACAGTACTTAAAATAATTTAAGGCTTCCCATAATTGTTCTTAAGATTGACAGTAATAGTCCACTTTAAAGTTGCGAGCTTGGTTCCCAAGCCTTCAAACAGGAGTGATGCTAAGGATTACCTTGTTATGATACAAACATTGCTGCTTTTTCAAACAGAAATGACTTTGTTATCATGCTTACTACATACTGGTCTCTATCATAATAAGGTCACCTTCAACCTTACTCTGAATCAAAGGCTTAGCAACTAAGTACCAAACTTTAGAATGACCTATTAAGATTGTTGATTGAGTAAATTTTGCCCTGAAAACTTCTTTTAAGCTTCACCTTGACTGGTCAGATTTTGAGTATATAGCAGCATGGGGTAATATATTTTGTTGAATTATTTTGTCTCTACCCAAATATATAATAATGAGAAATTCTACTCTTGCTCAGGTGCAACACTTTACTAGCACAGTTGTAAAAGTGATTTGAATATAAAGGGTTTTTATTTTTGTACCCTTCCATTTCACCCTTTAATGTCATTGAACTTTGACTAAGTTGAACAAGAATCCAAGTGTGATGCTGTATTAGGTATAAATTAGGAAGTCAGAACACATAATTTGCTATAGATTGCATTATGGCCTCAAAAGTGTGTAGTGTTTTTGGGCAGGACACTTCACTCCCACTCTGTCTTTCTCCAAAGAGTACAAATGGGTGGAACGAAAGAGCATCAGAAATTAACAGGCACCCTATCCAGGATGTGTGGTAGTATTTCTAGTCAGGGCTTAACCTTTTACATCCTTACATCAGCATCAGTATGCATATTCTCCATAATTTCCTTTACTCTTGTGATCTAAATGAATGTTTCAGATTAATGCAAGGGGAAATTAGATGCTGGTCACTGTGTTTTACAAGTTTAAACAGAATCAGGGATAAGCTCTGCATGTAATTCAAGTCACAAGGTCAATAAACCTTCACTTGGCAGGAAAAGATCAGGGAAACCACTGCCTTGTATAACACACAAAGTAAACACCATTTATTACAATTACCTGTGATAAGATACCTTATAAATTACTACATATCTGTCTTTACCTATAGTATTTAAATCATCATCACCGATACAATTTTTTTCCAATGAAATTCTAACTATGTTTTTGTGGAAAATTTTTGTCTCTAAGACAAAAAGGGTTTCCTTTACACAATTTTGGTATCTACGTGGCTACATAAAATTTCCACCCAACCCAAAAATTGGTCCCTTGTTGTTTCTTCACAAACTGTAATTTGAAAGTGGATTGTGCATTAAAAGAACTCACAACTTATGAACCCACAATTTCAATACAAAATGAATTCCTAAACAAGGGTATAGTCCATAACCTTCTGGATGTCTTGTTCACTACACACTGGATGGTTTGGATGGTTTAAAGAATGCTTAGTGAACAAATTATTTATCAAACAAGGGTTGTGCAGTTATGGCTGTAGCTAATGTAGCCTGTTATTACCACCAAATTACAGTTTTTCCTTCAAAAATTTCCCATGACACATAGGTGCTGTCTGTTATCCTATCCAAAGTCCATCAAGGAACTCAAAAGTGTCCTTAAATAAATCACATCAGATAATCCACACCAATACTGATGCTGATACAGGACTAAATTTAATACATGTACAATCATTTGATGACAGCCTGTAGCTGGCATGGAAGATCGAAACCATCACAATTGTTGGTGAACACTAAATAATCATTGTCTCAACCACTGTCGCTGATGGTTGTTTAATTCAGAATCTACCCTCTCCCCTATAGACATGTCCCCT